CGTTCGGCCAATCAGGTGTTTGAACATCTTGGTTACCAATCTTTGGTAAGTTGCTCCTGCGTTTTTCAATCCGAAAGGCATCACTCTGTAGTAGTACAGTCCTTTGGGAGTGATAAACGCAGTCTTCTCTTCATCTGGGAGGTACATGGCTATTTGATGGTACCCCCTGTATGCATCTAGGAAGCTCATCCTTCCATGCCCCGAAGTGGCGTCTACTAGTTGGTCAATCTTGGGTAGAGGGAAGTTGTCTTTGGGACAGGCTTTGTTTAAACTGGTAAAGTCTACGCAGACCCTCCATTTATCGTTCTTCTTCTTCACCACTACTGTGTTCGATAGCCATGTCGGGTAATTTACTTCTCGAATGGCCCTAGCCTCGAGAAGTCTGTCTACTTCTTCTTCCACTACTTCGATGTGTACCAACGTCGGTCTTCTTGCTCGTTGGATTACAGGTTTGGCCGACCTGTCAATGTTCAGCTTATGACAAGTGACCTTGGGGTCAATGCCTGACATTTCGTAAGGCGCCCACCCAAACACCTCAATGTTTGCTCTAAAAAAAGCTTCCAACTCTTTTTCCTCTTCTTCGGCTAAGCCCGAGCCGAGAAGAAAGAAGCGTTCTTCTTTCCCCTCCTGGACGAGGATTTTCTTCAGTGCTTCTTCACTCTTCTCGGCTGGCTCCTTGCCGACATCCTCCAGGACCTCCACGTCCTCATCTTCAATCTCTGCCTTCTCTGGTTCTCGAATGCTGCAGGTGGATTTCATTGCTACCATGGAGCAATTTTTTACTTGCAGTTGGTCTCCTCTGATCTCTTTAATCCCATGCTCTGTTGGGAATCGCAATAGTTGATGCAAAGTTGAGGGAACAACCCCCATTGCATGCAACTATGGCCTTTCCAAGATGATGTTGTAAGGGGAGGGTGTGTCGATTATGGTGAACTTTGTTATTACCCTCCTGGTGCCTGCCTGCACCTTTAAACTGGTTGTTCCCAGTGGCCATGTTGGCGTTTCATTGAATCCGACCATTGGGCTATTGGATTGCTCCATGTCGTCGGGGTGAAGGCCGAGCTCCTTGTAACATCGGACGTACATGATGTCACAAGAGCTGCCTTGGTCAATCAAGATGCGTTTTACTTGGCATTCTCCAACCTGGAGGGATACTACCAATGCATCATTATGCGGATGCTGCACCATCTCAAGGTCGGCATCAGAAAAGGACACTACTGGTCCGTGGCACTCTTCTGCCCGATGTCTCTTCTCCCCGACTTGGTAGACATACTACAGATGTTTTACCTTCTGGGTCTTCTCCCGAATCTTATTTTCGTTGACCTTCGATTGAATTACATTAATTACCCGAGGTCTTCCTACTTGTGGTTGCTGTGCTGGGGGAGGTGGAGTTGCTGTCGCCTGAGGCAATCTTGCCTGTTCTTTCCTTGTTCTGGCCTCATCAACAAGGTCTCTCAGATGGCCTTGCCTCACCAGGTCTTCCAAATGTGTTTTCAGGGCTCTACAACCTTGAGACATATGCCCGTTTTCATTGTGGTAAGCACAATGCCTGCCAAGGTTTCTTCCCATGAATTCTCCTAGTGCCTTTACTGGTGTTCTGAAATAGGGTTGATTCCGAATTTGATCCAGGACTTTGTGAATTGGGATTCGGAACACAGTTATCACTGCTTGTGCAGCCCTCAGCTCTGTCTCTTGTTTGCTGGATCCGTTGTTACCTCAGCTTCGCTTCGGCGAGCCGTTTCCCTTTTCTTGCTTTGCCTCTTTGGTCCCCGATGTATCTTCTTCGGCTCTGGCGTACTTCTTTATCCTTGCCATGAGCTCTTCTATGCTTTTTGGCAATGTCTTTGCCAAAGATTTTCATAGTGGACATCTTTCAGGCTGTTCTTGAAAGATACGACCGCCACCTCTTGATTACACTCTAGTATTCGGTTGAACACCTCATAGTACCTTTTTGCATAGGCCCTAAGGCCTTCTTCCTTACTGATCTTCAGAGCTATCAATGCGTTCACCCTTAATGGCTGCAGCTTGTTTGTCACGAACCTGGCCACAAATATCTCGGCCAGGCCTTCCCAGGTTTTCACACTTCCCTTTGGTAGTTTATGAAACCAATCTAATGCAATCTCCCCGAAGGATGAGGGGAACACTTTGCAGAGCAACGGCTCGTTCCCACTATATAATGCCATCGAATTCAAGTATAATCCAACATGAAAGTTGGGGTCTGACTTACCATCGTAAATTTGGAACCTTGGCATACTGAATTTTTTCGGAGCCTCAAATTTGTCTAGCTCCACCGAGAATGGTGTTCTCGGCTTTTCTGGGGACGTTACCTCGGCATCGACATTCTGCTGCTTCCTCTTGAGGTAATCTCTCAAGTCTTCTTTGCTCCGTCCAGGAGCTCGGCTATCTCCTGACTTCAATCTTTTCGGCATACTACTCTCAGCTTCATGGTGGGTCCTTTTTGATTTTTCTCTATGAGTTGTGTTGAAGCAGAGTGCCTGTCCCTGAACATGCCGATGTTCTTTGGGGTCTGCCTCCTTGGCGCAATGCGTCCTCCGCGATTCTTCTCTCCTCGACTCTACTCGTCCGACCTCCCTTGAAGGCCGATGAGAGTGTTTTTCGCTCCTGGCGTGTTGGGGGATTTCTGGGATTGGTTTCTGCCCTCCCTTCTGGGCATTGGCCGCTGGGATCGGCGTGTCCTGCAGCGGGTATGGTGGCTGCATAACATTGTTTTACATCATAAAATTGACGACCGATTGCAGGTCTGCCAATTTGTTTGCCATCTCCTTTACCTCTTCATCTCTCTGTAGGCATCTATCCTTCCATACCTGGAGGTCATCCTCATTGTAGTACCCACTTCGATATGGCTTTTTTGGTACGTCGTCATCCTGGTCGACGTCTTTCTTGCTGTGATTCTGGTCACGAGTTTCTGCGTTGCATTCGTCTCCTTTGATATCAAGGTCAATAGGTCTCCCACTCTCAGCAGGAGTGTCGTCCCCAATCTTTTCCTTTTGTCCGTTACTGGCCATCTATTCTTCTTTCTTTTCCACAGATAGTGCCAAATTGTGTGAGTGATTTTCCGATCACACTGCCTAACTCAGTATTCAGCTGGAGAGAACTGGCAGAATAGATGACACTTGGTTGACCTGCAACAGAAAGAGAAGATTCCAGCGGTGGTTCGTCCATTTGGGGACACTCCGACGATCAAGTCAGTATATCTCTCAAAGATAATCAATAGTGCTGAATTCACTGTTCAGAACATAAATTGCGTACCTTAGACTCACGGGGGTGCCTATCTTTTATAGTTAACTCAATCTTTGTCCCAACAGAAGCCTACGACTCTTGTTCAGTGCTTATCTTGGACTTTCTAAGAGATAAAGATAAACTCCCTAAGAGTGTTATCCTTATCCATGCTATAGTCTCTCCTCATTCTAGGACTCTTGTGCCTTATCCGCTTATTTTGGATTCCGATATCTTTGGAGATAACCTCGGCCTTGCCGAGATCACCTCGGCGTTATGTCCTGGACACGTGGCACCTCCGCTGACACGTCGGCGTCACCTTGGCCACGTGTTGGGACTCATAAAATATATTCCCACATATATTATTTTGCTTTTAGTTTAAATTCATATCATTGAATTATATTTTTTGTTGACATGTCTACCATAATAAGATAATTGAAACAAAAGAATAACAAAGGTTCATTGATTGTATTGAAATCGATGATTCAGTAAGTGAATTTTTTCAATGTTGGTACACTTTCAAATTCCCTACCCTAGATGGCTTTGCTCACGAGGTACAAGAGTTTTCTAGAATAACACAGCTGGGAAGCACACATACTCTAAACTGGTGTTGGAAAACCCCTCCCTAGTTTGCACACCAAACAAGTTGCATATTAATTTGTAGTGAACCCCCCTCATCTTTTGACTCTATCTAAACAGTCCATGGCTATCCACATACATATACATATGTTATTTATATAATCATCCATGTTAATCTTATGTTAATCATTGTTCACCCTGCTTTATGATATGGGATAGGTATCACCAACCATGAGTGCGATTGTTTAATATATACATTAGACTCTTCAATTATTAACTATTATACGTGACAATAATGTAGTCATGTCAGAAATAAATTTGGACTGTCCATTTATATGGAATGAATGACCCATATGTGTTCATGATATTAGCATAGAATAACTTTTTTATTAGACCCGTCAATGACTTCATTGAATTACATGAGCTTGTTAGATGTTTAATCAAACATTTCTTGACATAATTGTTCACTTGCATGGTTGACTTCTGTGACTACGAATTTACAATTGCCAAATTTTATCTACACCATGGTGGACTTTTTGATGCAGTGTGTAGAGTACTCGACTGTTTATTGATAAAATGGTAATTTAAAATTTTTTCAAGATTATCAGATCAGTCCCGAAAAATCCACATTTGAACCAAAACAACCCAACTAACACAACTCACTGTTACGAGGTATTTCATTCATGCTTTCAAATTTGAGAAATTATTATTTTTGAAAAGATTTGACTACTTAATTCAGAGCTCCAGTCAAATCTATTTTGAATAATGATTTTTCAAAAAAAATTATTTTTGATTCTAAAGTCTAAATTTGAGCGTAACACATTTACTTATAATTAGCTTGACTAGCAACCATTTTTCATAGAAATAGGATTGTAAATCATAGAGACTGGTCAGTCATTAATTGAGTTTAACAAAAATTAAGCGAGATTTTTCTCTAATTCATATTAGTTTTGTTTTCTTTGTGTTCATTAATTCCATACACATCACTTTATTTATAATTATTTTTTGTTCACGTTTTAGGTGGGTAGATAGGCCATATTGTCAGCCTATGCTTTATCCCCTGCTTTTGCTTTCTGCCTGCCTGGCATAGCTATGCATGCAATGCTGCCACCTTCCACTTACTTGCCTTTTTTTTTTTGAGTTTGCTATCCCTTCTACCTTGCATGAGCCTGTCCAACTGCCACCTTCTCTACTCTCTCTATAAATACACTTCTTATCTTCATTGTGTATACCCAACATTACACCAAGCTCAATTGATCACCATCACCCCTTTCTCTTCTCTCTTCTGCAACCAATTCATCAATGGCCATCTCTAAAGCCCTCATTGCAGTAATGGTTCTTTCTCTACTTGTTCTTGATCTTGTTCAGGCTGTGCAAACCAATCAAGAGGTAAATTTCTCAATCCCTTCAAACACACAAACAAACAAACAAACAAACAAACAAAAAAAACACATTTCATTCTTTTTACAACTTCCTAACATTTTAACTAACCATTTTATATGTACTTCGTGTGACGATACAGACTAGCAACACTCTGACAGGCAGCACTATTGGCAAGCCCATGGGTATGTCAACGCTCTACTGTAGTACCCTTGTTTTTGATTAATCACATGATCTATTTTTGTAATTTTATTGGGCTTGTTTGTGTAGATTGTGGGGCAGCTTGTGCAGCTAGGTGCCGATTGTCATCAAGGCCAAGGCTATGCAAGAGGGCATGTGGGACTTGCTGTTGTAGGTGCCAATGTGTTCCTCCTGGCACCTCAGGCAACCTTGATTCCTGTCCTTGCTACGCCACCATGACCACTCGCAACAACCAGCGCAAATGCCCTTGAAAAACTACTTCGCTTATTTTTATTTTTTATTTTTGCTATGCGTGTTAATATATGAACTACTTTGGAATAAAAACTTGTGATGAAGGGAAAAACTAGAATAAAGCCCTTTGTTTTGTGTATTATTTCATGAAATTGTATAAATGCTGTTCACTTGGTCCTTCAAATTTTCATAGTCTTTGAATGCAAGTTATTCATCTGTAGTTGAAATTAGTTTTTTTTTTTTTCTGAGAATATAGTCTGATTTTTGTGGCTGCCAGTACGCCAATACCGTATTATAAAAAAATGATGCTCAAGACACAACCCAGAGAGTCAACACAACTTCAAAGAACTGACTTTATGAATCCGGAGATGCATACATAGTCAAATTATAAACTTAACATTTGGAGGTTCAATTATAGACTCTATTAGGGAATGATAAAAAGATTGAACATTCAAATTACAAACACATCAGTTTAAATAAAGCGAGTATGAGAATGGATGATATTAGAGAAGAAATGACAGTGACATGTAAGACGCGACATAATTCTCAGACAGCTAGGTTTCGTGCAAGAATGCCCTCAAAGGTGATCCCGGGTCCAAAAGCCAGTATCAAACCCCACTCATCGCTGTTTTCTTGATTTTCTTTCTTCATTTTCAAGTTCTCTTCCACCATATACTCCAACACATACACAATAGTATTACTGCTAGCATTTCCATAATCCGCCAGAGCACGCCTACTAGCTCCAAGCTTCTCAGGCTCCAAATCCAACCTCTTTTCCAGGCGGTTCAGAATCGCAGGCCCACCCGGATGTACTGCCCAAAACATCTTATTATAATCTTTTTCACTGTACCCAACAATCTCCATTAATTTCCCACAAAACCCTTCAATGTTATCCTCAATTATCTGAGGCAGCTCTCTTGACAATTTAAAGTTTATCCCCTCTTCTGTGAGGCGTCCATCAATGATCTTCTCAGTATCTGGCAAGAAATGCTGGATAGAAGTATGTAGCTCAAAGAGAGGCCTTTCAATGCTAGGAATTGGGTCTGAACCAATTACTATTGCTCCAGCCCCATCCCCAAAAAGTGCAGCCCCAACTAGATCATAAGGCCTATCAGGATTTGGTGGTCTGAACCCAATTATAGTAGTTTCTGAAGTTGCAAGGAGGACTCGGCTTCCAGGGTTGTTCTCAGCAATGTCTTTGGCAACGCGTAAGCCTGCCACGCCTCCAGAGCAGCCCATGAAGTAGAGCATGACTCGGTGAGTCTCTGGGCTGAGCCCAAGGCCTCTTGCCAGGTAAAGGTCACCACCAGGGAGGCGTGCTTCGCTTGAGGAAACATAAACCAGGTGGGTAATACCCGAAATAGGCCTGCCCCATTTCTTGATGCAAGATTGGGAAGCTTCAATGGCCATTTGTGTGACAGCTTTGTTGCAAATGTCTAACCTTTGTGTTACTGTGGGGAGGCCTTCAGTGGCGAGCTCCGGGTACTTTTTTAGGATCTCTTCTGACATGACCACATACCTTGTTTTCACTGTTGTTGTCTTGCCTGTAAAGTGCAATAGAAGAGCCATATCATTGTTGTTTTACTATGATTTTTACAGTGGTTTTCATGTGGATATATATATGTACAATGTTAAAGCATAAATAGATTATGAAGTATAAAAACATGATGAGTTTAGAAAGCAGTATTTGGATCCAAGAAAGCAGAATGTTCTGCTAAAGTGGATGTGCTTAGACTTAAATTCACTGTGGTATATTTTACCTGTTACCAAAATTCTGTTTGTATAGCATTACTCTAATCTTAATAATCCCGAGCCAACTAATTGCCCTATTTCTAGGGTTTCACTTTATTCCCTTCCCTTTTTTCATGAGGAATTTATGTACGCATCACATTTTTATACGCAACTATGTTTGGATTTTACAATTTGTAAGACGATTTGTCGAGGAAAAGGAAAATAAGAGAGAGAGATAAATAATGGAGAAACAAAAAGAAAAACAATAATAATCACATTTTCTTACCATATTTTGTTTATCATATGTCACTACTGTATTGGTAATAGATACAAGCGGTAGAACCCATTAAAAATCAATACAGTAGCGACTCATGAAAGGAAAGAGAACTTTTGGACATAAATGTGATGGGAAGAAAGAAAAGAGAGTTACAGAGTCGAGTGAGTTTCTGCTTGAGGTCTGGATCATCACAGTTGGTGTTTTTGAAGTACCCATCAACTAGAAACTCTTGCATAACAAGCTGGTGAGGGAAGGCCTTTCCAAGACCTAAAATTGTAGCCTTGCCTGGGCTGGCCTTCTTCAAACCTCCTTGCATGGTATCTCTCTGGACTTCTCAAACGTCTCTCTCTTACTGCAAAGGAAGTTGAAGAACAGAGGCTCTGTTTCCTTGCAATGAAGACAAGCATAGGATGTGCTCAATATATACACAACTGCTTTGCATTTTTTAATGTACTAAAACAAAATAATGCTCAAAGGGAGTTATGGTTTTATCATTTCATACGAGAAACAGATTGCGATCGGAGTTGTATAGGGTTTGTTCAAAAGCATGAAGTTCATGATTCTGGTTTGATGTTCTGGTAGGGGTTTGGTTTGTTTTGGGGTCTGTTTGTGGAAAATCATTCACCTACAAAATACACCAGAATAAATATAATCCATATATTTTAATTTTGGATATACTTTTTTCTGAATGCATAATATTGTTGAAAATTTATAAAAGATTTATGCATGTCACCTGACAAAATTCACCATTTTTTTCATCTCTCATACAAATTCATAGAACAAATGTCATATATACATAGAGCATCCATTATATTTAAAAAGATAATGATGCATCTCATTAAGAGCTTGTTTGGCATGTTAAATATTAGCACATTTTTTTTTTCATCTTTTTATCTTTTTTGAGTCATATTACTTTTCTATTTTTCTAGATATTTTTTCGTAAAAAGTCAAAAAACATATTTATTTAAATTATTCCAAACAAACGTTAGACATGATGTACTTGGACAACAAATCGAAGAAGATGAAGACTACATTACGGGCATGTTAAATTTCTGGAATTTCCGAAGTAGCCAAAAAAAAAAATCACTACCATCAAACTATTAAACGTACAAATATCATTCAACAATGCTATTCAATGCTTTCTCAGTTTCTGCTGATCTTTGTCAAAACAAAGACAACATACTAATTCAATATTGCCAACCACACACAATACCGAACCGCACATCTCTGTTCCAGTCATTAGCACCCATACCATGAAGAACCAAACCAACTTTCCTTGAAACACATACCTCAAATAATTTACTGTCGGTTACAAGGAATATCATTGCATAGAGAAATTAGCAGCTATCATATAATAACTTTCAGGCTGCTCATGTTAACAAAAGTTTTTTTACTTCTAAATTGCACTTCCAATCAGATGACATTTAATAGAAAAATGTTCATCAAACACTGTTATCACACATATATCCTTCCCACGAACAGGAGTAGCATATAAAATAGATCAAAGCTCGGAGAGGCACTTCCCGTTTAGGAAATCAACAACTTCAGTGACTGCTTGATCAAGTGCAGCAGTCACTGCTGCCAAATTCTGCATAAATTCTTCAGCAGTTGGTTTCTCACCATCCACAATATCAGTCACAGCTTTAACAAATATTGCAGGGACTTTCAACAGATCTGCTACGTACCCAACAGCTGCTCCCTGCAACCCAAAAAATTATACAAGAAACGGTTTTACTGTTGCATGAATGCCAAAATACTAATAAAAAAATAAAAATTACAACTGTCATTTATATCTTACCTCCATGTCTTTAATTGTTGCATCATTTGCAATGATTGATGCCTCATCCTGTGGGGACATATCTAAAGAGTCTCCAGTAGACAATTTACCAACCTGAACAATGGCCCATATATATGAAATTATGAGAAATCATTGGTGTCGTGAAGAAAATAATTAAATATGTCAGTACATAACCCATTAAGCTCCATTGTCACTGTATGCAGAGAACCTAACGAGTCACAGATGACCACTCAAGAGAGAAGAAACAAGTAGTTACCACTATCTGTAACTATCTATCCATATGTTGCAGGTTTCTTTTAGTTCCTTCACAATTTATTAAACTTATTTTAATTGGTATAACAACAACAATATTCATGACATAATACAACATCACAACTTTCTGGTTATGTTGGCTAGGATTATTGAACGTGTCCGGGTTTCAGTACTTTGCTTGCAAGGAAGCTTTTGACCATATAGACAGCCATGGGACTAGTTCAAAGTAACAGAATGGCAATGAAGTTATCAGATTCTATAGTTCCACAACTGGTCAAAGTTATCAAAACATCAACATGTTATTTTAAAAGGACACAAACATGGGTTGAAATGTGAGTAATCGTTATCCAAGCATTTGAATGCACAGTAATGACCTTTATGCTAAGTGCCTTTAAGAGATTGGGTGTTGAGAAAGCCTGCCGCAAACCAACTCCATACAGATCAAAAACCTGAAAAAGAAAAGAGGGAGAAAATGATTGAGCACATGATGATAAAAGTCTGGCATAAAAAGTTTTAGAAATTAGTATTAATTGAACATCATTGGTTACTCCATCAGGTTTGAAGGATGAATAATGTAAGACATATAATAATGTAAGATATACTAAGAAAATAGGGCCTCTGGCTGCCTATGATAGAAATTCTGATGGGTTTAAGGTAGGTATGGCACCAGGGTTAGGGTTCTATAAGGTAGAAGAAAATTTCTGGTTTCTAGAAGGCGGCTAAAATTGGTACAATTTTTAAAATTCAAGCAATTAAGGGCCTAAACAATCAATGGCTATTTTGTGAGTTTATTTCTAAAATTGAAGAACAAATAGGTGGGGGGAAAGGTTTGGGCTTTGGTTATAAAGCTCAACTGAGTGAGTTTTGGGGCTGAAATCAAGGTTGTTGTGGCCTGTGAACAGTAACTCAATAACAGTGTATTGGTTGGGCTTGCGAGCTAAACAAAATTGCACAAACACAATCAAAATTCTCTAACGCTGTGTTTGGTTGGAGGATTTGAAGAGGGATTTGGAGAGGAAAAGGAAAAAGTTTGGTGAAATGTGAATAAAATATACCTACATTTCACCTAGTTTCACACACCTTTTCCCTTTCCCTTTCCAAATCCCTCCTCAAATCCTTCAACCAAACACAGCATAAAACTCAACTCTTCATTGACAAGAAAGGTGACATGGACATGTGTATAGGTTACAACTACTATTAATTCTAACAGGTCTGACTTAAAATTAGGAAACCAATAGACTTAAATTGTTGAGAAGATACTAGACCCATTGCAGACCACACATAACACCCAAAAATGTTAGTTGACCCATAGTGTAACCTGTGACCCATTCTAGACCTATTGCAGACCACATATAATATTTAATTGGGGAGCTTTCCTTAATATTTAACAATTTGAGGAGTACAAAACTGAAAACCAAGAAAAACTTACAGGGATAGGTATCCTTCTATCATGGAAGGCAACTCCCGATGCAAGAAAAATATCACCTACATTAGCTCCTTTGGCCTGAAAACATCTAAACATCAATATGAAATTATACATTAAAGCACTGAATCATACACAATCCATGTGTTTGTGGTGTGATTCTGGTAAACAAATAAGCGTTATCTGAAGCATGGTTTCAGAAATTATGTAAACAAATATATAATATCTAAAGCACGTTTTCAGAAATTATGTAGAGAGAGAGAGAGAGAGAGAGAGAGAGAGAACTGGTTGTTACTAGTAATCTTCAGAAACTAAACACAAGATCAAACCATTTCACAGCAGAAGGGAACATCAGCAATAACACAAAGTAGAAAAGCTCCAAGATGATTTCAATTCAAAACAGAATGAAAACAGTAAGAAAACAATCCTGGACACACAGATTATACCTTAAAGCCACCAGCAGTTCCAGCATTTATGATAAGGTCTGGCTGCAATGCTTGGATGGAAGCATAGGTTACAAGAGATGCAACAATTGTGCCTACACTATCAACTCCTGAAAAGGTTCAAGGAATCAGCACCATGCAGTCCAAGATGAACTAACCACATGAAATATGCATGCATCAACAATAACAATAAATTCCAATAACTACCAAACACATCTCTTAATTCATGGTAAAAAATTCAATATTGCATTTTGATCCATACATATAATAACTGTGAATGAATGAGTATCCATTGAAACTAATAGCGACCCTTTGAAATCTTTGTAATCATCTTTGGTTCTTGAACACTCAATCAAATTCACCAATTCACCAATCTAACCACCCTATTGCTGCTTCAAGCTGCACCATACTTCTATCCTTTATAATTTGCAAAGACTATCTGTTGGAACAATTAGATTAAAAAAGATCCTGTCAAAGAAATGCATTTTAAACGAGGTTCCTTTATTATTTCAAAATCTTTGATATTTCTATATTTCTAGCAAAGGATAAACCCTCAAATCCCTGACCAGAGAAAAGATTAATTAACATAACAAATTGAAGCACATACTCATCATATTAACCAAAAGGCCCATCATAATTTCTTTTCTAACTATAGAACATTTGATTAGCTGAAAAGACACCTTTGACAAGATGGTGGCCAAAAATATATATTAAATGGACCAAAATTAACTGAAAATTAAAAGGTTTCTGCAAAATTACTTGAGTCTTCGTTTTTGGTGGGCTTATTATAGGCTAGATAAGTTTTAATTAAACATGGCTTGCATCAAGCACTCATACTTGCCCATGGCTGAGCATTCTTCAAAAAATGGCAAAGGTAGTACCTTGAATATAATTAAGCATAAAGACCAACCAGCAAGAAGGCATTAATTAGGAATTACAAGTTAAATTGTTTAAAACGCATTTCACTCACATGACTTCGAAGCAACAATCCAGAAAGATCGCTAATAATGGATGAAAAAATGTTCAGACAATTGTGAAAACATATAATCAATCATTTCAATAAAATTGAAGAAAACACATTATAAAGCCAATACCCACCCAAAACTGTATCTTTTCCAGGCCAGATAATATTAATATTCAAGTGTTTGTAAGTACCACGGTACCGAACCCAAGGAACCCCTTTCGGGAACCTGCATAGTTTTGAGTTAAACAAATCAAATCCCAAACCACCACGTAAGAGACATATTGCACTTTGTAAAAATAAAAAATGAAACTTTGCATTAGCAAAGACATGCCTTAAGAAGAGGGATGAACAGTTAATAACATTTAAAACTGGAATAAAGATTACAATTTAAGCCCTGATTTAAATAAATAAATAAAAAGAGAGAAGTGAAAGAAGAAACTCACAGGGGATCGAGGTCCTCCTTTAGCTGGAACTTGTTGACAAGAGGAAGCGCTTCAGACTGCATAGCTGGATGATTCAAAACCAAAATCAATCAACAACCCAAAAACACAAACACAGAGAGAGAGAGAGAGAGAGAGAGAGAGAGAGTTAAGTACCGATGATGATGACGATGGTGGAAATGGGTCGATTTAGGGGTTCGGAAGCCACGGACTCCTCTAAAACTATTGATTTCTCTTCAGGAGGAGCCATAGCGAAGGTAGGGTTGTGCTCGCACGCAGCAAAGGAGAGAAAGACTCTTCTTGTGTTGTGAACCAGAGCTGGTGGTGCGCTTGATTTCTCAATCAAATTGTATGAAATTCTAGATAGAGAGAGAGAGAGGAGAGAGATTGGGGAAATAATCAGCGAATAGAATGGCTCTGCAATGCAATGAAGACGACGACCATCACCATGGAGTAGGGACCAACGTGACCGTCCCCACACAAACAAACACGGCCCAAGTCCTTCCAATCACGAACTGTTATTTTCAGGTAGGGCCCCCCGCGATTTCAATCTTAAGTGATGCTTTCTGATTAGGGCTCTGATTAGGGATAAGGAGGGATTAATTTAGCCTAAAAATGTAGTTATTGGTTAACAAAATCAATATAAAAAAAAAAATTATGTGTAAGTCTTAATAGGTACACTTATTATTTAATAAATTTTATAATAATTAATTGTATTTTTAATCAAATATTATTAAAAAAATCATTAATTATTAATTTTCAGCGATAGTTAAAAAATTGTTACAAAAAAAATCACTAATTATAATTTTTAGCGATTTTAGCGATAGTTTGAAAATTTTGTTACAGAAAAACGTCATTATTTATAAATTTTAGCGATAATTTATAAAAACTATGACAGAAAAAGTTATTAATTATTAATTTTTAGAGACATATGTAAAAAATCGTCACAATAACGACCATCCTCGGACCAAGCATCCTGGTCTGACCGGTCACTTCCCGACCGAGCAACTTCTGCACGGTCCGGGGCGGCACACCGTCCAAACCTTGCCCGGCCCAAGTTCTGGTAGCCCATCTCCGGGTGAACAGTTGATCATCTCGGCCCAATGCACTGCTGGGCCCTCAGCTTGCCCGGTCGATACCCCGGCCCAACACCGGATCATAAATCACCCTCTCATGATACGTGTTAAATTAATAAGTTAAAAAAAAAATTATAGGATTCACTAATTTGTATATAGTAACATGATAGTTTATTTATAGAAAATATCAGTGAACTACGATTTAACTAGGGCACTAATTGAAAGGGATTAATAATAGCATGAAAAGGGATTAATTTTTGCATATATTGCGATGTTGAATATATATATATATATATATTATAAAATTACTATATTATGTTTGGGGTGAAATAACAATAAGATTAAATTTATTAAGAAAAATGTTTGGTGGCCATAATATTCGCGGCTCAAATGGTTCGAATTGACCAAAACGACGTCGTTTTGTGTTGTTTTGTGTCCAAAACGACGTCATTTTGTGTTGTTTTGTGTCCAAAACGACATCGTTTTGGTCAATTCGAGCCATTCGAGCTTAAGAAATTCGCGCCCTCTATTGTTGCTGATTTATTAATATTATTTTTTACTATTGAATAAAGGATAAAAAAAAAAGACCAAGTAGATACTAATTATTCTAATGATGATATTAGCTATCTCATGAAATTGAGATAAATGGTGCAATGAAAACAATCAATCCCCATTCGACCAAAATATGTCACAATTATTCTAACACATGCATACAAAAATCAAAACATACTCGCAAGCCTAACACACATCCTCAAGTTAATGAAGAAGATAAATGGAAAATGAAAAGAAAAAAAACAAAAGAACATATATATGCTTACTAAAAACCATTAACCACATTTGAAACATTTCTGATTTTTCTTTGGATAAGTCCAAAAATGCTTTATCTTGCTAACTTGAGCTTCTCTTTACAATTACATGATAAGTTAACAATGCTATCAAACTATTCGTGATGAAGGGTGACCTTTCACTTTCAGTGCCCACTTGGTTTTCATGTCCCCTGTTTTTTTCTCTTTCATTTTAATGACAAAAACAGGACCAACTTACCTTTGACAGAAACACATGTTCACTTTGGATCATTCGACCAATTCTATGCAACTCAATGTACCATGTAACTCTTTTTTTATTTATTTTTTATTTTTTAACCCTAATTCAATGTAGTATGTACCTTTTTGTTTTGTTTTGCATGTAACGGATTGTGATCGTTTTAATTAAAACTCATTTGAAATGTGCTCAAAAGATAAACACAACCTAATCGTTACGTACTAGACAAGACCTTTCCTTGAGACGTCGACTTCTATCCGGATAAGAAGGTAATAATTTCAAATCTTATCAACAAACGCTTAAGAATCTAAAGATAGTTTCAAATCTTATAACAAATCTATTTTTTACATGAATGCATACAATTCACATGGTTTCTTCTTAAGATAGTTTCGACAAAATCAAACATTGGACACAACGAATCTGTGTCCTGGTTCTGTGGCCATGTGCTCTGCAATAATCTACACCACATTCACAGTCACAGACGCATCATCTTGTCAGTATTTAATTTTCTTGAGCCTTGCTAGGACTATCTCTAATTCTTTCTTCTTTATTCTTTGTTCTTTTTTATTTATTAAAATTTGATTACAAAAATTATCATATTTTAGCGGTGACGGATGTCGTGAGGTGCCTTGTATTCGCTATATTTTATGGTTTTGCAATGTTAGTTTCAGGGCCGGTCCTGGGTATAGGCTTACCGGACCATGGCTTACGGCCCCATCAAAATAGGTCTAAAAAGTGTCACTTCTATTATAGTTTAGTCTAATATATTGGATATTTTTTAAGTCCAAAAAAATTAACGAAGGCGGCTCATTCAAAATTAAAATGACCCATTCTCTCTCCCCATCTAATTACTATTTTTTCAAAACTTTGAGAGAAGCGGTACAACAAAACACTAACGAATTTCTGAAGAATTCAGAGCAGCAACACAACACAAGTAGGTCTTTTTTTCTATTCAACTAATTAAATATTTGTTGTCTTTTGCTCAATTATTACAGTCAATGACTTAAAAAAATATTACAATCACTGTATGCCTTAACCAAAGAAAGAAAGTTTGAAACTTTAGAATATCACAATCATTGCATGCCTCATCCATATGTTACAATCACAGTATGATTCATCCCCATAAAGTATTACAATCTGTGATTCTTAAAATATAATAACAATTCAAACTCCCAAAACCATGAACAGAGCAGTAGTAGAGATTGAATGTCTCTGTATTGTTACATCTACATATGTTTTCGAAAACAAAAATCAACCAGCATATATCATATTTTCTATTTATTATTTTTAGAGTTAGATTTAAAAACTAAAAAGTATAGATGAATAATACGTTTATTTTTTTCAATTCAAAAAATATATTCAAGTTGAAAACTTTTTTTCAACAGAATATTTAAACTCTTTTTCAATTGAAAACACAAACATAAAATTTAAACAAATTGAAAATACAAAGCCTTATAAATTACTACGGGTGCTCGCGATTTGGCGGTTTGGCGGTTCGGTTGCGGCCAAAAAATCTCAAATCCGCCATCCGTCCGCCAAATTGTCGGATTGGAGAAAATCAATCCGCAACCGTCCGCTCATCATCACGCATCCGTCCAAAATGCGGCGGATCGGTTCGGTTCGGTCGGTTTTGGCGGATCGGTATATCCGCTGCTCACCCCTAATTATAGTTTAGTCTAATATATTGGATATTTTTTAAGTCTAAAAAAATTAACGAAGGCGGCTCATTCAAAATTAAAATGACCCATTCTCTCTCCCCATCTAATTACTATTTTTTCAAAACTTTGAGAGAATAAAATGACCCATTCTCTCTCCCCATCTAATTACTATTTTTTCAAAACTTTGAGAGAAGCGGTACAACAAAACACTAACAAATTTCTGAAGAATTCAGAGCAGCAACACAACACAAGTAGGTCTTTTTTTCTATTCAACTAATTAAATATTTGTTGTCTTTTGCTCAATTGCTATTATAATATTGGTATTTATACAAATCTGTATCATCAAGAAAAATGAACCATGTCACAAGAAAGATTGAATGGATTAGCATTGTTATCCATTGAAAATGATTTTGCAAAAAAAAACAAGATTATGCAAGTATAATTGATTTATTTGCTTTTAAAAATGCAAGAAGAGCGATGATCAAGTGATACTTATTAGTTGTTGTAATGTAATACTAAATATTTTTTGTGATTTTGACACAATTTTGTCCTTTACCTTCAATTTTTTTTTTTGTTGAATGAAAAAAAAAATGTGAAAGACCCAAAATGATTTAGTGATATTTATTAGTTGATTTCGGCTTGGGATCCCTGCAATCTTAGGGCCGGGCCTGGTTAGTTTCGGCCCATTAGCCTTTACCCTATAAATTATATCAATTTATACATTTTAGGTTTAGAACGAAACAGAGAGAGCTGTGGAGTGACTTGTAATTCTTATTACATATAGTGGATTTTAATTGTTTCTCTACCGTAAACATAGGTATCTGTCTCAACTACGTATATGTTGTTTTTGTTTGTGTGATTGTTCTTCTCGTTACTATTTATTGTGTGATTGAAATCAGATCATTGCATAACAACGCATGTGATGATAAATAATGATTGATGGAGAATGTGAGAGAAGATCAAAATTATCCAACTCAAAATCCAAAAGAGAGTACAAAATCAAAGAGCCCAAACTCTTTCAATGGATACAGTAAAATTTATCTGTTTGTCTCTTTCACTGCCATACACGCAACTTAGAGCCCAAAGGAACCCAACTTCCTTTCCCAAAAAAAAAATTAAAAAAATCCCATGAACTTACTCTAGAATACGCGACTCCAAAGATAAACTAACAAAATTCGATATCTTTTGCATCTTCTATCAACCATTTGAGACCAATCTCAGACCTTTCAATGATGGTGGTGACCAAATTTATAACTAATTTGCTAATTCATACACTATAGATTGTTTGCCTTAGATGGTTTCATAAGTTGAACATGGATAAAGAAAGTCTTTAAAAATTCACATTATATTATATATGTGAGCATGTACAGAACTCGGTTATTTTAGCAAAGATCAAGCCAATACAACCAGAGATATTGTGATGTGGGAAGATAATCAAAGCCAAACAACTAATGTTTTGAAAGTCAAGTAGATCAGAAAAGGAAGAATGAAGTAGCGATGAACGGTTTTTCGATTGGAGCTACCATTTGGTAGCATTGGGAAGGTGTCTGGAAGTGGCATCTGACAGCTCTCCCCGTTGAAATAAATTCTTCTGGGAAATGCCCATCCGTTGCTCAAAGTGAACGATTTCGAGTCCTTTTTTAGAAGTATCTCCGTTGTGACCGAACCCAGTTGCCTCTCATTGGCATTCGACAGCTCACGGTTGTAGTATTCTATTCCCCAAAAGAGGGCAACTTCATCTGCAAAAAAAATAAAAAATATTACTGAGAAAAACAAGTTTTAGGTGGGTAATTTTTTGAATCTTGGTTTTTTGAGAAACAATTCTTTATTTGCGTATCTTCTCCTACTGTTACATACAAAAGCTTGGTATTTGGAAAGAAACAAATAACAAAGCAGAGAGAAATCAATCAAGAAGTTAGTAGTTTTAATTGATTTTTGAAACTGCTGCTAATTGTATGAACTTTATCAAATAGTAAAAAAATTTAATTTTGGAAGTGAAGCAGTAATCGTAAATACCTGTGATTCCAACAGTGGGAAGCATTGTACTGTTGAAGCTAAAAGTTGTCACGGACTGGCTAAAACCTGGATGCTGAACCAACACATTCCAGTCTGAGTAGTTCCTCTTGTAATTATAGTTAGAGATGGTCAATTTAACCCGCCAGTGATCCCTGTAATTGTTCTTAAAGTGCCAGTGAACTTGAAGTGGGCACATATGATTTGTACACTTCACTATGTCAGGATTACTGAGAAAACCCGACTGTGTTGAGATATAATCTTCTCTGTTACATACACAAAAATGCACACGAATGTCAATTAAACATTCAAAACTAACGTCTTCTCATAAACTTGAAATCACAAAGAAAAAACATGGTGCACCTAATGCATGATGTTGTATTTTGTTCTGCTCTTTTGCATCCACAGCTGCACTCAGGGCATGATGTAATGGTAGGATTGTAAAATGTTGAGAGCGAAACACAACAAACTGGTGTCCTGTTAGCCAAGTAACTAGAGTATGTGCATGTTGATTTCCACGTCCCTGAAAACCACAAGATCAAATCATGAGATCATGGCTTGTATTAGAAGGCAAGGCAATCTATCATCTTGAAAAATAACAACTTTTTGAGTTTTCTTCTAATCCTATAATAGTAAATGGGCAAGAAAGAACCTTTCCAATCAGACAATTTCATCACATGGAAAAATCTTTTTTATTTTTTAATTTTTATGCTTCTAACCACACTAGGTCTCAAATTTTCTACGATTGTATCTTCATCAGTAGAACGATAAACTTGGCAGTGAAGTACTTACTGAATGTCTGTTCTTCTCTTCTACCCCCAATAACTGACCAAACTGTGGGGTTAGTGTCCACCAATAGGCCACAAGTGTAACCGGGTCCTGGAGCCATTAAAGTAAGATTTAGAGGCTTGTACCCAGGAGTATTACTTTCCAAATTGCCAACGGTAATCTCAAAGAACGAGAAAGACTTCAATGGGTTGATAGCATAGGCACCAATAAGGCCACCATGGCAGCACCCGCCTGACTTGTTTTCTGGTGCAGCATCAGGCATGAGATCAACTACAAGAGGGTCTCTCCTGCAGGTGTGTGGAATTTGGGACTTGAAGGATGAACAATTCCCTTGTTGGGTGGCAATTGCACCAGCCATTGACCAGATGACCTCGTTTTTAGCCCATGTCCATCCTAGCTCCCAACCAGGTTTGTCCACATGACGGTATTGATAATTGTTTTGGATGGTTACCCTTGCCTAAAACCAACACATGCATTAGAGAATGAGGGTTTTTTTTAAAATAAGAACTGTTTCAATTAATTTTGAAAATTTGAAGGCTGCAAATTATCAAGGTTGCGTTCATTGCGGAAGTCTACTAGCTCAGTTCACTTAGACACATCTTCATGGCATTGCAACAGACAAATTGACCATGTGGAACCAATTGATCATTGCAATCAACTTATGATAAGTTTTGACAAACATTTAGTATAACCAACAGAGTCAGCTAAATGGAATCAGAAACAATAATTCATATTTAGCTGCAATTTCATCTTAATCGAATCAGAGCAACAATGAACTCATCAAATCCCGCTGCAATTTTCATAAGATGCTCAAAACTTATCCTCCAATGTTACCCAGTTATCTATGTTTAATAATAAACAGATGTAACATAATTGATTATTTAGTCAATTACTATACTAACCACATAGCCATCACTTGTCCATTGAAGTATGTCGAAGGTAACTGTTATGTTTCCGTTTGGATCCAAGGCGTCATAGCAATCTGCAAATCAGAAAAAGGCATCTGATTTAGCAAAGAACAAATTTTTTTTTTTTTCCTTCTCCCAAAAAAGTGAAATCAAAACAAGCAACAAAGGAAAAGTATGATGCCTGAAAAACTGCACATGGCAGCTAACAATATCAATATTATCAGTGCAAAATGGCATACACAAGAAATGATTAGCGCCATGTTCTCTTTGAGATTAGCAGCTTGAGATGGATATTGAAGTTGTTACTTATAATTGAACTTTACTAACAAGGAAGAAAAAATGTTATATATAAAGCCTAGCAATGGAATGAGCATTAAACATTGGAAACATCACTAGACAGTAACAGCCAATTTTAAAAAATCAAAAACTTCTATGGTGTTCCCATCTAGAAGATTCTCTAATGATCCATGGTTACTAAGAAACATAACACAAGCTTTTAGAGAGCCTTCTTTGTCTTCTCTATTATCTCCTCCCATTTGGAGGACCATACCCTAGGACGGCAAACTCATAAAATTTGGAACACATGGCAAAACATTATACGTTGTTATATTATAGGTATGTTCAAAGAAGCTAGAACTGTTCCTGTTGACTAATGAATGGTGTGTTGTGACAACCATCTCCTTAATTAATTAAGTTAATTATGTGATTTGCATTGATCATGTGTTTGTGTTAAACATGAATTATGTGCCATGTGTTATATGTATTGTATTGTTATTGTAACAAATATGTATAGGGATGAAATAAACTTGTCTGATTCAGTAATTTTAACAAGTTAGAATTAAATATTTGGATAGGCAATTAGATATAATTAAATTTAGTTTGACTTAAATCATAAATGATGAGGATTAATTAATTTGAGTGAATTTGATTTAAATTAGCTAATATAATTTTAAGCCTAACATCAATTGAATATAGAAGAGAGGACTAGAGAGAGAGATAGTGGGTCTTGTGTTGAATTGAGTCATCGACGTAGAGAGAGAGGGAGAGACTTCGAGAAATAGAGCTCAAGAAGGAGAAAGAAGATAGGAAGAAGAGGAAGTGAAAGGGAACTTGAATTCTTCATAAATTCACCAACTTAAGGTGAGAATTTTACTTTAAATTTCATGAAATTGAGAAGTCATAGTTATCATCCTTTGGAAATTGAGTTGAATTATAGAGGAGATCATGCATAATTATGAGTTTAGTGGTGTAAATTGATGATAGGAACTCATATCAGCAAATAAAGAAGGAATTGTAGGAATTTAGCCCAAGATCAACATGCATGACATGAATTCATGATATTTTGTTTATACACATATTTTCTTGCATGATCTTCATGAATTCTACAAGTTTCAAAGAGTTTTCCTCATTAATTTTGGACTTGGAAGTTTGAAACACACGGTTCATGCTTTTATAATGTCTTGGAGTCTTTGATCAACTAAATTGGAAGAATTAGCTCAAATTATAGGCATGCATGATTTTATTCTTGATCATACACATCATTCTTGCATGAGTTTTCAAAATTGAAGGGAAATTCCATGGGATTTGAGGATTTAAAGCACAAGAATGCAAGTTTAAAGAATTTATATGTCAACTCAAAGAACTTGATCATTGCATGGAAATTGAGCTTTGTTTTGAACTTGTAAATTTTGTTTGAAATTAGAAGTTGTGAATTCAACATGTTTTTATGAATTTTGGGCTTTGAAATATATGGTTATGTAGGTAGATTTGAAGCAAAGGAAGTCCATAAACAAGAGCAATTTTTGGCACATTTCAACCCAGACCGCTCGAGCGGCCTAGGCTGTCACTTGAGCGGTCAACCCCCCCTTGCAACATGCATTCTGCACGCTCGAGCGGCTAGGCCACCGCATGAGCGGCCAACAGGGCAGACCCGGTTTTGTTTTCACTCCATTTTTCTACCTTCCGGGCCTCCGTTTGCATAGTTTTAAAGTGTTTTTCATGTGCTTTTGCATCTCATAAACACGAATAAGATATAGAACGAAAGTATGAACTGAACGAGTGAACATCGAATGGAAACCGGTCAAGTAAACAACAAACTGAATAGAACTGTTTGAATGAATGAATTGTGTATTGAGTTGTTGTGCTTGAATTTGTTTGTTTAGGTCGGACGCCGCATCTTTAACGCAGCTTAGGACGAAATTCAGAGCCCATTATGAGTAACAATGTTGTAAAGCTATGTTCAATTGGAATTATTTTTTGATCAATGAAATATACTTCATTCTGAAATGAGTTTACTGAATGAATGATTGTCCTATTTTGTGAACTATGCTTGTGGCATTCATAGCAACTGTTTACTGCTACTGTTACAGAGATCTCTGTCAGTTCTAATTCTTGGAACTACTGTTTACTGTATTGATGGCCATCAATGACTATTCGGTCTTTAAGACCTATGTATGACTGTTACGATTGCATATGACTATGAAATATATAAAATATTGCTTTGTGAACTGATTTACTATTGAAATTGACTGTTTTGAATTGTTATAAGGACATCATTCATATATCCCTTTACACAATTGTTATTCATTGGGTTCTAGCTCACTGTCACTGTTTAATATATGTATGTAGGCGAGCAAGTGCCGGAGTGGACTTAGCAAAGTCGACCCGAACCCTGTTTTGTCAAGCCAACTACTGTGCCTCACCGCGAGGTTCCGAACCGTCACGTGTTCTGGCTTTTGGATGTTTTTACCTTGCCCTCTTGTGGCTATGACTCTATGTTATGGAATTTTTGTTTCAGACTTTTGTTTTGACCGTTTTGTTTTTGGGATTTAATTTCCTAAGTTATGACATGTTTGGACTTGGCCTTATGTGATATGTGAATATCTATATATGCAAGTTTGTTTTGTTCATTTAAGTCCTTACAACTCATTGGACGATATATTTTATTATCAATTGGCTTCCGTCGGCTACTATTATTGTATTATTGTTATTACTATTAAGCGGACCTTTGGTAATTACAAATTACTGGCTAGTTACGATGTTAAATCCTTAGAGGTGGGTTTGGGTTACGATGCTAAATCCTTGGAGGCGGGTTTGGGTCGTGACATGTGTACACTCTATTCTCCATCAAGTGGCATTCCTAGGAATTATTGTTGAAACTTGTGTTGGTATGTTGGAGCTCTTCCTGCTTGTTTGTTGCCTCCAAAAATTCTGAGACGCTTAAGTAGGGTTGATTGTATAAATCTTTTTCGCCATTTTTCTCTATAAATGACTATAGAATCAGTTAAATTATTTAACTTCATGTTTCTTTCACTACTACATTCCACGTCAATTTAAATCTTTCCTGCCCATGATAGTTCCATTTATGGCGATCATATCATTTGTTCTAACCGTTGCATCTACAACACTAACATTTATGGATCACTCATCCTAACCTTTTGAGATTGGTAAAAGATTCACTTAAGATGGAATATGTATTTACCTATATTTATGACTAAGATGTAATGATTAAATATTAAGATTTTGTGTCACTGGGCTATAGAATTGTTAATTTTTAATTTTATAATTTTTTTTATTTAATAAATGGGTTTGTTGGACGGGCTCATGGTATGCAATTGTAATACTGTTTTAGGCCGGACTCGAGGGATACTTTTACACCCAAAATTGAGTAGGGCTTGCGCACAAGAGATTTTTATATTTCCTTAAGATGTATAATTCATATTAATTATATATAATTATGATTATCAAAATAATTTGTTTTTTTCATAGATGATCAATCCATAGAGGGCTACAAAATGATGATTAGGACTTGTAATGAATTCCGTGGACCAAACTGCATGGTACAATCCACGACTACCAACAATCCCATTGCTAGCTTTTTATTGCATTGATAATGCTTCCAACCCATCCAATGGCTGATAACCATATCAAAGACAGGGATAATAAAATTAGAAAAGAAACAATAAAATGAATTATCACTAAGAGTCTGGAATATTTAGGAGGAAGAACTGAATACACAAGTGAATCAACAAAATATTATTAATATATGGATTCCACATTACCCTATATTTGCATGATTAAACCGTTAATTCATATATAAAACCAAGTGAACTACACAGAGTACATTACTTAAAAACTGCTGATCAATATTCCCTTCATCAAGGTTGTTTGATTAGCCTATTTTATTTTTTGTTGATTTGCATTTTATTTTTTATATTATGACGACGAAGATGGCGGCAAGAGTGTGGAAGCAGGTGCAAGGGGTTCATGGACAACTGTATTTGTAGAAATTGAGATTGGATTGCCTTCCAACTGCAGCATTATACTCCCAAGTATTTCACTCATTATCTTCTTGAACTCTTCTTCTTTCACTGCCTTCCCATCATCCACCTCCAACATCTTAAACACATCCGCGATAACCTTGTCCATCTGTCAAATTATATCAGCAAATATTCAATTCAGTAGCAACAGACTATGCCCTCAAATGTACCAACCAAAAAAACCCCCAAAGTTGTTATGGGTGTCGTCTCTCCCTAAAATGGGAATGAGTGGTACATTGATTTTCTGAATACATAAAGAAAAGTGAATGGATATGTACTATATGCTAGACAAACATACTTCAACATAATCAATCAATGAAACAATCTCTGCAAAAGGAGTTGTGGATCATATATTTGCTAAACTAGATAGAGCACACACTTTATTGCCAAAAAAAAAAAAAAAAATGATGAATTAAGGGCTATAATTAGAATTTTTATCATATTGTTGTTAAATGTCGACAGGATATATAGTACCTGATCAACTGCACCTAATGGAGGTAGACCCGTGGATGGGGCGACCACATCGAGCACCACTCGCAGATACTCCTTAGACAGCTTCCCCTGACGATCTGTTGGCACATTCTGCAATGCTGTTTCCAGTGTCTGATGAATTTCAAAACAAATGGCCAACAAATAATTCCATGAGTAATCTTATCCTTATTTGGAGGAAACTTTGCACATATTCTGAGTTTGAGAATGAAAACTAAGTGCATATTGGGATAAAAAAAAATTACATGCATGGCATTCAAACCATTGGCGCAACCAATAGTTATACACGGAAATTTGCCGTGGGGCAAAAATTTTCCTCAGTTATACACGGAAATTTTCTCATTTATGTATAATACTTCCGAACTATTCGACATCACTCAAAGCGGATCACCAACATACACAACATAATAGGGATATAGGAAATTTTAAAATGAATTCTATTGTAGACAAAAGTGAAATTTTTCTAAAACAATTGAGAGAAAAAATAATATTTTCTTAATATTCAGTAATATAATATTGAAAATAATTGAGATCATAGGTTAAATAACATTTTCTAAAATTTAATTGGGAAAGAAAAAAAAATTATAAAACCACAAGTAATATAATATTTCTTAATATTCAGCGAGGAAATTTTAAAATGAAACGTGAATTTTTTTCCAAACTTAGCTGGGGCAATTGCCTCCACCTGCCAATTATTGTAGCGGGTCCTATGCCACGTCTCTAAGTAATAAGTAAAAATAATTTGTGAGATTTATATGCTCATATATAATTTTTTCATTTCACAAATAAGTAAGCACTATTCATAATATTTGGCGTAAAATCTACTATATCTAAAGAGCATTGATTCAAAAGTGACCAGTAAGTTAGTCATCTGTCATTTTCTTAAGCTTTAATCTACTTAATTTTCTACCAAAATGGTTCCAAAGTCATGGTCGGTCGGTCCGCAAGCACAGAAAGCATGCAGCTAACAAGCTGAAAGTGACACAGACAAATAAATACCAACCATCAATTGAAACGTGCCTAAATAAATTTACAAAAACAGAAATTGGAATTACAAACCTTATCGAATTCAAATTTGTTGGATAATAGTCTCTTGATGCTACTGCCGTCGAAGGTATTCTCACTGTGGGCAACAATCACAGGCTGGTCCTTGAGATTCTGAGCCACTCTCTCTGCTACTTTCTTAAACTCAGCCAAAAATGTGTCCTGAGAGATGGGTTGCTGATCATAACCGCCACCACACGATTGGAGAGCCGGTTCAACAACATTGCTCATAACCTACTCAAACCAAAGAGCCCCAACAAGTTAAAAAAGAAGTAAAAATGTGAGAAGTATTGGTAATAATGATTGAACAAATGCAGGCATTGGGAGGAAGCCTCATTTTTTTAATCATTTAAGCTGTTAGATGAGATAACAGCAAACCATTTATCATAGTATTAAAATAGATGATAAAATTTATATTTTTAAACCTCATCGCCTACCTAATGATCCTTATAGTTACATATGTTTTGACCCGTTAATGGAAAGAGTCTTGTCTAAAGTTACTCAAGATACAAATAATAAGGAAAATCATTGATAGGTCGAATGTTTGGCCGGAAATGTTTGGTTGAAAGTGAATGATCTGCTACATTTTCATTTTTATTTTGATTGGATTGTGAGAGTGGGCCCATCATTGCCCAATGAAAAGGAACAATCTCAATCGGTTCAGGGCCGAAAGCAGTGCTCAAATAATAACATAACTTCTCTAGCTAACACCTTATCTTCTTGACAAAGAACAAATATTGGTCTAGTGGATGAGGACCCCTATCCTGTGTGTGATGCTCAGGTTCAAGTCTTATCACTGTATGATACAATACAAATTTCCTTTCTTATATTTTCCTTCTATCAATTGTTATTTTTTTTTCAAGGATGAGTTGGTGATTAATAATTTAACAGATGACAGAAACTTGTTCTGCACGCCGATGTGGCACTCTGCACTCATGTTTTCTCATACACATGGCACTCCATGCTTGAAGGTCTCAGAAGAACTGTAACAATATTTGATTTGAAATTTTTGACTACTTTTTTTTATTAATTTTAAAGTCAAGTATAATAAATTGGAGAAATTACCCAAGAGTCTGAAGCAGGAGGCATTCCTTGATCAACTGTAAGTTTTTCAAAAGCCTTGATAATGTAGTCTTTGAGGGATCCCTGATCATCAGGTAACACTATCTGTGAAAATATGGAAACCATCTCTGGTTCAAAACTTGGGCTCTTGATGAACTCATGGAGGTCTTCGCCATCAATGCGAAGAATTACAATAGGGTCCCTCTTTAACCCAGCAGCCATACCTATTAGAATATCTGAAAGAACCTCTTTGAACTCTGTCTTGCTCACTTTGTCTTGTTTACCATGAGTGAATTCATTCAGAACCTGTAAATTTATATCTATCATTGTCAAGAATGGAGTCCACTTCTTATAGCCTACACTAGATGCAAAATATGACAAAGTACAAGTAGTGGGAGAACCCAATGAGCTTATTGTATACACACCAAAAGGATATAATTAAAAAAAAAAATGAAGAGATTATTGCATCTGAAAAGCACATAGCTTCAAACTACAACCGACCATAACTTTTGCAACAATGGAACAATGTGGAAATAATATTAAATAGAAAAGAAAAAAAAAATAATACTTGTAGGTGCCAAACTCATTTTAGCCCGAGAAATATGTTATTATCATATGATATTCTTAAGAATAATGCTTGAGACCCCCTTTTGGGGTCACCCCTCACCCCCTTTGCCACGTGGTGGGTAGTGATTGGAGAAGCAGGAAAAAAAAGAAAAAGAAAAAGAAAATATAACCAATGAGAGAGAGAGGGGGTCAAAGGGGGTGGGAAGAAAAAGGGGGATGAATCATTGTTGTATTCTTAACCAATCGCATGTATTCTAATTTTGTTGTTTTAATTTTCTTTTGGTACAGCTGACGTCACAATGTAAGGGAGGTGCACTTTGCACTAAGCATGCCTTGATGCCTTAAAAAGAATCTTGGGTGGATTATTTTATTTCAATGAAATTTTCTATTTTTTCCGATCAAAAAAAAAAAAAAAAGTGTGGAGGTTTGACTAGCCTCAATTAATTGGACTAATTGGACTAGACTCTGTTTTAACTCAATGATGAGTTATAAAATGGTAAAGAAAATAGTATTTAAAAAAAGAAAAAAAGAAATTCTCATCACAAAGTTATTACACTAGTAGTTCAAGCAAGTCCACTAAGGAAGGTGACTAACTAGATCAAATGAAACGACATGGTTTTACTATTGCACTAGTACACTTTGTCAAGATTAATGTCTAGTCCTTATCAATCATTATCGCTTAAGCAAAAAGAGGCTCCACCAAGCCTATTATTAGAAATTTGTAACCACCTTTATGCTAATTACTTTCTGTCAAATTAATTATAATTGTGAGAATTACAAATTAACATTAAGAAATGAAAATAATTGTAAAATATAGACATGTTAACGATCAACACAGTTATATTTCACAATATTTTTACAATTACCTTCACTCTTTTTTGGATTAATTTTCAATTTTCCATTAAAATTTATTCATTTCATACCATTTCATTAGATTCCTTGCAATTCTTTTTTTTTTTCCCCATTAAAATTTTATCATTCCACAGCATTCCACTAGATTCCTCCTTTCAAGAGATAAGAAGATTTGAGAAAGCAACAAAAAAAGAAAAGTCAAATAAGAAAAGAGAAGTGAAGTCCCCACAGCACCGACAAAGTTCAACCATTGGTTTTGGATGTTTCTCAAGCTAAAATACAAACAAAGAGTTTGAAAATTACTTTCACCTAGATGCACCCAATTACAACTCATCTCTATCCTAAACACTCTGTTTGAAGTCACAAAGATGAAGTCATATGATTTTTTAATATTTAAAATAAAAAAACACAGTTTAGACAAAAAAAGGATAAAAAATGGGCATAACTATATATTTGTGGTTCATTCACTTGAAGATCCTCAAAACTATTGACAAAAGACCAATAAACCTCTCTAGTCACTTCCAAGAAGGCAATTACTGTTGTCTGCCTTAAACTTGAAAGGCAAATAAATGAGGTAACTTTCTTTAAGATAAAGTTCTCTGACAAATGCAAATGAATGTCATTAGATCATTGTTTAGTAGTTGAGATTGAAGTGAAAAATATCTTGAAAATAGATCAACAAAAGTTGTAAAAATACACATTTTCAATTCAATAAAAAGTCTCATTTTAGAGTAAAACTATAATGACCATCTAGTTCTATCTCTTATCTTATTAGTACTGAATTGAAAATATACATGAATTGTGAAACCCATTACACTAATATTATGTTACCAAATAAGATGATAAAAATAATATAATATAAAAATACGATAAGTATAGCATTATTCAACGTTATTCCTACCCTCAGTAATTCTTAAGGGTATGGTTCTAAATTTTTACCAATTAACCTTAATTTTGACTTATGTAGATTTCACTATGATTAATAATGACATATAGTAATAACAGAAATAGAAATGGGGGAATTATAGTTTGATAGTTTGCATTGCAGTAGCTCTATATCATCCAATTCTCTCTCTCTCTCTCTGTGTTTATGTTTTTATATAAGTGCTAAACCTTCTTTTTTTTTTCTATAATTAAAATTAAATTAAAAAATAAATTTCTTTTGTACAAAAACTGGAGTTTTCCAAAACAATAATATCAATAATAATAGAAGCAGCACAAGTAAGTAGTGGCCACATATTTTGTTTGTGCATATCCCACACACCTAACTTCAATATAATACAACCACCATTCAACAAACTCAACAAAACAAGTAATAATGTCAACTTTAATTTGAACATATTTATACACAAATAAAATCAGTATAAATATTTAAAAAATAATTATTATACATAAACAAAAGTTACTCGACTAAATATTATGTTTAATAATGATAATTAATGAAAAATCTCACAATAGTAAGAGATAGAAGAAATATTCACCTAATTTTTTTACAATTTTATTACTTAATATATATGAGAGATTGAATACGCATTGATATTTGATGGGTTGGTTTCAATCTCTCAAAAAATTCTCTTATTGACGAATTTGGGTAAACATGAGAGGAACATAACCCATATTTGATACTTAAGAAAAGAAAAGACTGTTTCCTCACAAGCATGAAGAAGAAACCAAAACAAGCACAAGAGAGAGAGAGAGAGAGAGACCTCAGAATAGATATGGTCAGAATCAGGAGCAGAGCCTTGAGCAGGCAAGCCAAGAGCAACACCAATATCAGCAACAGCAGGTTGTAACTCCTTCACAGAGAGCTTACCATCACAGTCTCTATCCAGCTCTTCAAACTTATGATCCACGAAGCTACTAAACACCTTCTCATTCCCAACCAACTCCATTATATCTGAACCGTCCATCACCTGACCTTCTACACTTTTCTTCTTCATCTTCATCACACTACTCCTCTCAAGATTAATGTCTAGTCCTTATCAATCATTATCGCTACTTTTATTTTATTACAAAGCTCTCTTTTTGGCAATTGTCTCGTGAGAAAAAAAAAAGAAAAAAAAAAAAGAGAGAGAGTAGTGTTTTTGCTTTGTGTTGGATTGTTGTGTGATCATCATTGGGTTTAAATATGGTGGAGAGAGAGACACACATACACACACTTGTGGCCACGACTCTTTTGTGTGGAGGGGACACGTGGGACGGTGAGGAGAGAGAAATTATCTGGCGTGTATGGCCTACCGCACTGTGCTATTTTACTTTTGTCATTTATTTTATAAATAAATTAATTGTTAGTAAATTTGACAACAACTGAGGGTGGGTACGGGTCGATTGTGGTTACAGAATTTCTAATTCATTATCTGTCTGTCAGATTGGTAGATTAGAAAAAATCAATTCACATTCGTCCGCCAATTTGATTGATGTGAATTAAACGAATTGACAGATTGATGAGAATCGATTTGGTTATTTAAAATTTTATAAATTTTTAACATAATTCAACTTGTGTATTTTCTCAAAAAAAAAAGTATTACAGTCAATGATTTAAAAAAGCATTATAAATTTTCAATATAATTTAACTTGTGTACTTTCTCAACAAAAAAAAAAAAAATATTACAGTCAATGACTTAAAAAAGTATTACAATTACTACATGCCTCATCCAAAGAAAGAAAGTTTGAAACTTTAGAATATTACAATTACTACATGTCTCATCCACATATTACAATCACAGCATACCTCATTCACATAGAGTATTACAATATGTAATTCTTAAAATATAAAATAATTTAAACCACCAAAACCATGAACAAAACAGTAGTAGAGGTTGTATGCCTCTGTATTGTTACATCTATATTTGTTTTTGAAAATAAAAACCAACCAGCATATATCATATAGAGTTCCGATTCGTAGCTCGAATTTGGCTCGAATTCGGAGAAGAAGAAGAAGAGAAGAAGAAGAGAAGAAGATGAAGAAGAGAAGGAGGAAGAAGAAGAAGGAGAAGAAGGAGAAGAAAAACTGGACTGGAGAGGCCAACAAAATCGAGTGGATGCGGAGGCGAAGGCAAAGGCGGAGGCGGGGCTGCGATGCGATGATCGGTCGACGAGCGATGAGCTGCCGACGAGCTGCGACGCCGACGACGACGACTCTGTTTCTCTCTCGCCTCTATTCTTCTCCTGTGTTCAACGAAGAAGAAGAAAAGAAAGAAAGAAAAGGAAGAAAAAGAAAAGAAAAAAAAATTCGAAACCCAAAACGTTTCGAGCCGAATTCGGGCCACCGAATTCGAGCTATGAATCATTTTTCTATCATATATATATATTTAGAGTTAGATTTAAAAACTAAAAAATATAAATAAATAATACATTTATTTTTTTCAATTCAAAAAATATATTCAAGTTGAAAACTCTTTTTCAACAGAATATTTAAACTATTTTTCAATTGAAAACATAAACAGAATACCTAAACAAATTGAAAACATAAAGTTTTACAAATTACTAGGGGTACTCGCGGTTTGACGATTCGGTTGCAGCCAAATGAATTTCAAATCCCCCATCCGTCCAAAATTAGGCAAATTAAAAAAAGTAAATCTGCAACCATTGACTCGTCATTCCGTATCTGTTTAAAATATGGCAAATCAGTATATTCACTGCTGATCTCTAATAGTAACCACACAATTTCTATGATATTTTAAGAACTACAAGCTTATGTGAAATTACAATTCTTTGTAATAATTCACCATTGCAATGGTAGATTAAGGGTTGTTTGGAATATCCTAAATAAGTGTATTTTTTGTCTTTTTAGACTAAAAAGTTGAGAAAAAAAATATAGATGTTTGGGTTAACTTTTTGACTTTTTGTGAAAAAATGTGTATTAAAAAATTATAAAAAGAAGTGTATAGGAGAAGATTAGAGATGTGTGTTGTACAACCGTATAATCTGTTGAGCCTAATTGGTGGTAAGAAATTATTGGCTACTTTTCGGGCATTGCACTGGACTGTTTTGTTTCGCCTGTGGGGGCCATCACGGGTCCCATTTTGATAATCTGAACCGTTGAATGTGTAGAACTCGTCGAGTACTATATGCTTATAAAAAATCACGTTGATCGAATATTGATAGCTATCTGATCAAATTTGTTTTTTTTCAATCATTAATTACGACACCATCATTTTTTATACAAAACTGATTTGATCGTGTAGTTATCGATATCCAATCAATGTGATTTTTTATAAACATATAGTATTCAACGAGTTCTACACATTGAATGGTTCAGATTATCAAAACGGGACCAGTGATGGGCCTCTACGGGCCGAACAGCAGTGTGTGAAAATTGCACCGAAATTGTGCAATTTTGTTCGGCCACACACAGCACAGAGCTGAACAGCAGTGATTGCTAAGTTGTACTTTTGTGTGAAAAATTAATTTTTAAATTTTTTTTTGATGAATAGTGATAATTTTTTGACTTTTTAAGGAGATGCCAAACTTGGCCTAAGTACTCAAAACACACACCTTTAAACCGTTCAATAATTATGTTTTTAGCGCTAAAAATAATATTTATTAGAATATTTACCCATAAGTAATTTTTTTAATTTTGTCAAATTTTTGTGCAAATTTTATATTCAGACAATGATTTGATTTTTTTGTAATATTTTTATTACAACTTAAAATATTTAGTGATAATTTAAAAAAAAAAAATCAAGATTTGACAATTGTAATAAAATAATCTTGAATTTTAAATTTTATTAATTTAAATTTTAATCTTTTAATTTATTTTTAATGTAAACTATATGTCTATTTTCGCCAAATAAAAGATCGAAAAAATAATATTTAAAAAATATATTTTAGGTATTTTTATGTACACCTATATTGAGGCCAAGTTTTGGCTATCCTAAATAAGTATACACTTTTTATCTTTTTATCTTTTTTTCATCACATCATCTCTCTACTTTTCTGCACATCTTTTCGTAAAAAGACAAAAAGTACACTTATTTAGGTCATTCCAAACAACCCCTGAGTTTAATGATTAAAATATTATTATTTTTTTTATCGAATTTAGTTAATGAAAATTGACAAATAATTTAGATTAAAAAAATTAAAATATTAAAATTTAAATTGCTAAAAATAAAAACTTGAGATTTATTTTATTAAAAGAGCCTAACTATGGAGTGATTTTTTTAAATTACCTCAAACATTTATTATTGTCAATTCCTACTCGAATTTGAAAAATGTGAACTCACATCATTTTTATTAAGTTTTAATCTTAAAAATCAATTTATAATTTATTTTCTTTTTGTCATATAAAGTTAAAAAAAAATGATATATGAGTTCACTTTTTAAACATAATGATATGTAAATAAGTTGATTGGTTGATGATTAAAATATAAATGAGAGACAATTGATTTAAATATTTTAATAGAGTGACACATCATTAATTTAGAAAATGATTTCAATTTTTTAATCTAAATATTAATACTCTAGAATTAATTGGTGATTCTAATCATTATCCCAATATCCATAAATAAAAAAGAAGCCACCATCAAGAGTCTCTTACGGGTTGCGTTGGAAAGATAATTAAATGTTAACTTTTTGATTTTTTTTAATTTTTTAAAATTTTTGAATAAAAGAGGTAATGGGTTAAAAGTTAAAAAGCGACTTGTAATCCATTTCTAAAAATACCCCTACATTATTAAAGACTAATCTCACATGATGATCGTATAGCTTTGGAAGACGTTGGTGGTCACGGGATCACCGAATAATTTCTCAGTCTGACTTCGTACATTTTGTCGGCCCGTAAGTTAGTGACGCGTGGACCTTGATGGTGCGTATCGGGTACGGAATTTAAATCACGTGGCGCGCTGGCAAAGAGTAGACGACCATGAGCTGAAATGTGATTGGATGGTGATTTTCGGCCTTAGAGGCTTCTTGGCCTGATAATAAAAAAGGCGGGCTGTGATTTGAATATCGTTTTGGGCTGTTGCTTGCAATTTGGCCCTGTTTGGAAATAAGGGTTGAGGTTAAAACATCTAATAAAAACAAAAAATATTAAAATAATTAATATGGTAAAATATTATATGTTGTACATCAATCAATTATTTTTCCTATTATAATTATCTATTCAATTATAAAAAAAATTCACAAATAATCACAAAATAATTATCTCATCTCATAAAATAACTAAAAAAGCTAAAAAAAACTAACTAAACTAGCCAAGTTTTAAAAAAAAAAAAGTTCAGTTTATTAGTTTATTTAGGTCACATTACCTCTCTATTTTTTTGTATGTCTTTTCGTAATAAGCAAAAAAATAAAAAAAAAACTTATGTATAGTTCCTAATAGATAGATTATTGTCCAATAGGTCTTATAATAATTAATAATATTTCATCAAACACTATCACTAATTGTTAATTTTCAGTGATAGTTTGAAAATTTTGTCACAAAAAATATTACTAATTATAAATTTTAGCGACAATTTAAAAAAATTGTCACTAATTTTCATCTTTTAGCGACAGTTTGAAAAATATCACTAATTATAAGATTTAGGGACAATTTATAAAAATCGTGAGAAAAAAAAAGGTACTAATTATTAATTTTTAAAGATATACAAAAAAATTATCACAAAAAATTATTTTTAATAATAATTTTACTAATACTTATTTTAAATAAAATTTAATAATGAGAATTAAGCCTAAATATTAAAACCTATTACTAGTTACAGTAAAAATCAACTTATAAAAATTACGATAATGCTACGTAGCTCGAATGTCGCAACGCGGCTCGACACCAAAACGACTTCATTTTGGTGTCGATTTTGTTTTTTTGTTTTTTTCTTTCTTCCCTGGTTTTGCAGAACGAAAAAGAAGAAGAAGAAAAAGAAGAAGAAGGGAGAAGAAGAGAAGGGAGGAGGAGGAGGAGGAGGGAGGGGAGGGGGCCATAAAAACCGGTTTGAGGAGGAGGCGGGGCTGCGACGGAGGAGG